GTGTGTGTGTGTGTGTGTGTGTGTGTGTGTGTTAAGCCCTAGAATTGTATAATTGCTTTGCCTGTGTGCTTGTGTCATGTCTTTTTCTGACAGCAGACTGCACGCTCAATGCAGGCAGGGAACTGGCACACGTGATTAACTGACACATGCCTGCTACATGACAGAGTCTTAATGAATATGTATTAAGTGTGCAAAGGAGGGCTTCAGCATTTGGAGGTCAGGACTGGAATCCGCATGTCGTTGATGGGTGCGAGTTGTCTAAAGTCTGTCGTGTGGGCGACTCATTGTGGTCTAAAATGTGCGGAGTCAGGATTGACGTCGGGGCTGCTGGCAGTGTCAGGACTATTTCAATGGAGAAGTGGGTGACTGAAGCACCCCAGAATTTGCAGAGCCTAGAACAGTGACTCTCACATTCACTTGACCTTTGGCTCACTTAGACAAGGCCCAAGACCCTCCTTCCCGTCAAACCCCCAGCGCCCACACTCTGAACTGGGCAGTAGGAGTTCCGCAGCGTCGGCGAGCATGGAGCAGGAGCCAGACTCCCTGCAGCTGAGCTCGTGGTAAACCCTAGTAACACACTAATTTTAGTTCTGACTAGTGAATCCTGGTAAGTCAGTCGTTTCCTAGAAAGTGGCACTTAGTCATGCACGAAGCTGGAAATCAATGGATGTGTGTGGTGTTACTTGTTCTTAGGAATCAGAGGAGAGTGTGGCTTTGGGGGATCCGTTTGTGGCCTTTAGGAGTGAGCTATAGCCCCACTGGGTGGGCTCCGGCCCCAGACTGAGAACTGCTCCACTGTGACTTGCAGACTGCCCAGGTCGGGGGGCTGGGCTCCGAGCCCTAGCGGGGGCTTACAGACCCGAAGTGCAGCTGGAATTGTCCATAGAATGAATCAACAATACCTCCTACACACAGACAGATGACTAGATTGTCAGCGCTAGTGCGATGAAAAAAAATGCAAATTTCTTTAAAAGCAGAGAATAATTCATAGTGGTTTTTTGTTGTTAAGCCTTTTCTCAGACAGCAGGTTCATGTGCAGGTGGGTGAGATTTCGGAGGGCTTTCAAAGGGCAGCCTGGTGCTGAACAGGGGGGTGGGTGGGAACCGTGGCTGCAGGGAGAGGTGCGGGCTTGGCTTGTGCCCCTCGCAGCTCCAGAAGCCACCGGGGAGCAAACTCGGTCCTCACCTGTCCCGGTGGCAACTCCGAGGATGGCCCTCACTTCCTCATGACCAGGTACCAGCTGGAGTGGCATTTGCATACGTTAAGTGCATGTAAAGTGCAACTTCAGGGCTTTACGTTTTTAACATTCATTTTTAAAGTTACCTTTCATTTTACTTTTTAATTCGTTTTTATTGATTTCAGAGAGAGGAAGGGAAAGGGAGAGACAGAAACATCAATGATGAGAGAGAATCACCGCCCCCCCACTGGGGATCCAGCCTGCAACCTGGGCATGTGCCCTGACCGGGAATTATACCATGACCTCCTGGTTCATAGGTCAACGCTCTACCATTAAACCACACTGGCCGGGCTAAATTACATTCTAAAAAAACATCCCCAGGAGCCCCTGCTGGCCGTGTCTCAGCTCTGCCTGGGTTGATTTGGCTTCCTTTGCAGGCAGGACCTCCCACAGGTGGCCCCAGCAGCTCCCGGCTCACAGTCTACCCGCTTAGCAGTCCTACGGAGAAAAGAAAGCCTCTCTCCCCATGGCGGCAGCCAAAAAATAGCCGCCAGTCATTGAGCGCATCTTCAGAGCCAAGCCCACCTCCTGAGCACGTCAGGGGATGCTCTCATTTATTCCTCACAATGACTCTGATATCATGGCTATTATTATCCCACATTACAGCAAGGAGGCTGAGGTTACACAAACTAGCCCAAGGCTGCAGGGCTACGAAATGGCAGCCGGAGCTGCCCAAGCTCCTAATAGGGCACACTCCGCTGACCACCGCGGCCTTGGCCTTTCCTGCAGCTATTCCCTAAACCTCTGGGGTTGAACAATGGTGAGTGAGTATCAGCTCTGCTCCAGCTGCTTCATGGGTATGATCTCATGTTTAGCGCCATTTCCCAGGTAAGGAACCTGGGGCTCAGAGAGGTTAATGAACGTTCCCAAGCTCACACAGAAAGAAAGTGGAGAATTAGACATTGGAAGCCAGGTTGGCTGGATTCTAAAGCTCCTCACGTGGGGCCTTTGCACTGATGGTCACTCTGCCTGAGCACCCTTTCCCCAGGCATCCACTCCTTCCTCCAAATTTCTTCAGCGAGGCCACCCCTGAGGAATCTTGTTTAAAACCACAAGCATTGCTTCACTTCCTCCGAATCCTCCTTACCTAGCTCTACTTTTTCTTCTAGAGCACTTGTAACCTTTCAGTACAGTAGATCATTTGCTTTTTTAAAATATATATATTTTTTATTGATTTCAGAGAGGAAGGGAGAGGGAGAGAGGGATAGAAACATTAATGATGAGAGAGAATCATTGATTGGCTGCCTCCTGTATGCCCCACACTGAGGATTGAGCTCGCAAACCCGGGCATGTGCCCTGACTGAGAATTGAACCATGACCTCCTGGTTCAGAGGTTGATGCTCAACCACTGAGCCACACCAGCTGGGCTCATTTGCTTTTTTATTATGACTTATTACTTATTTATCTCTCCCTGCTAGACTGTAAGCTCAATGAGAGCAGGGATCTGATAGATCCCAATTTTCTAGAATACGGCCATGCACAGTAGTCCTCAATAAATATTTGAATGAATGTTGCTATGACATGGGTCCTGACAGGTGGCAGGTCAAGAAATCACCCCAATTTATGTCTTCAATTCTGTATCGGGTCTGACTAGAGTGGACAGGAGCGTGGAGAGTGGTTAAGGGCACAAGTGGCCCAGAGCATCAGATGGTTAGTGGGACGGGCTCCATGTCAACATAACCACTTACGTCACAAGTGAGGATCACTATCGCAGGTCAGCCTTCTGCTGTCCTTCACTTGAGCCAACGTATCACTCCCCACTTGGACCCAGAGTTATCTTCATGACACAGGCTGGAGTCCTGGGCCGAGGCGATGGATTCAGTCCCACGGGCTGGGGAAGAAAGGCTATGAACTCTCCCAATTCGGATGGTAACAGTGATAGGGATGCAAATCATCACTGACAAATCCTTACCACTGCATTTGCTTAGAATTCAGTGGTTCTCAACCTTCCTAATGTCGCAACCCTTTAATACAGTTCCTCACGTTGTGGTGACCTCCAATTTCATTGTTACAAATTGAACATAATTAAAGCATAGTGATTAATCACAAAAACAATATGTAATTATATATGTGTTTTCCCGATGGTCTTAGGCGACCCCTGTGAAAGGGTCGTTCGACCCCCAAAGAGGTCGCGACCCACAGGTTGAGAACCGCTGGCTTAGATCATTTGAATACTGTTAAGTGATGTACTTAGGAAAGGTTCCCATTGCCCATTGCAGGGAATGAGAGGCACAATTAGCTAATGACTAGTAATCTCGGAGGAAAAGGCAGAATGGGACAGAGTGAGGAAACAAATTCAGACATCGCTGTGGGATTGTGCACTGGGCATGCTTTTCTGAAGAACAATTTGGTAATAGGTAGTAAACACTAAAAATATCTAGTCCTTTTAGCCCTAGCCGGTTGGCCTGGGGAGTGAGGGGTCCCAGGTTCGATTCTGGTCAAGGGCATGTACCTTGGTTGCGGGCACATCCCCAGTAGGGGGTGTGCAGGAAGCAGCTGATCAATGTGTCTCTCTCTCATCGTTGTTTCTCACTCTCTATCCCTCTCCCTTCCATTCTGTAAAAAATAAAATATTTTTAAAAAAAATATCTAGTCCTTTTGATCCAGCAATTCTAGGAATTTTCCTAAGGATATAATCAGAGATGTGTGTGAAAATGTTCCCCCAACGTGGTTCCCTGGAGCATGAATATAATACAAAAACAGTAGAAGTAATCTAAATGTCCAGCAAATGGGGATTCGTTGAGTCAATGATGCTACAATACAGTCCAAAAAAGTTACATAGAAGTATATGAAATGGCATGGGAAAACGTGGTATATTAAAAAAAGCAGGTGTCCTGACTGGTTTGGCTCAGTGGATGGAGCATCGGCCTGCGGACTGAAGGGTCCCGGGTTCGATTCCGGTCAGGGGCATGTACCTTGGTTGCGGGCACATCCCCAGTGCGAGGTGTGCAGGAGGCAGCTGATTGATGTTTCTCTCTCATCGATGTTTCTAACTCTCTATTCCTCTCCCTTCCTCTCTGTAAAAAAAAAAAATCAATAACATATATATATATTTTAAAAGCAGGTGGTAGAACATTATGGTCAATCTGCCATTTTTGTAAGGTTCATTTTGGAACTCTTAATTTTGGAGGAATAACAGAATGGATAAGAACAAGGGCTTTGAGGGCGCAAAGACATGAGTTTAATTCCTAAGTCCTCCACTTACAACTTGGATGCTGTAAACCTCAGCGTCCTCATTTGTGAAATGGGCTAGGATAGTGCCTGGACAAGACCGAGGACATGGTACTCATTAAATAGATGTTTCTAACTAAAATGGCGGGCCATAGTGTGTGTGCACGCGGGTGTGTGCATGCGGGAGTGTGTGTGTAGTACTTTCGTATGCATTCAGTTCTTTCTGAACTTTCTGAACTGGGCGCGTATTGCTTTTGTAATTAGGAACACAGTCATTAACATAAAAAAAGGAGAGGCCGAGAGGAACCCTAAGAAATGTCATCAGGACTGAAGGAATCTCCATCCACTGTGCTAATTTGCCATCTCCACTGCTCTCAGAGTCGTCTGTTTCGAATCATTCTGTGGCATTTCTGTTCCTCTTTTTTTCTTAAGGACTTGTTCCAAGAATTAAAAAAAAAAAAAAGGAAGAAAGAAAAGAAAGATAGAAAGAACGAAAAATCCCAAAGCTTCAAGCCATGTGGGTGAGTGCAATTTGCAGAAAATATTTCCAAAATGTTGTAGCCAAAACAGGCCATGTTTTAAACCTCAGATATCTAAGCAAATTTCTAAATTATGCTTGTAAACCACATGAAGTTCCTCTGCTTAGTAACACTTTACTTGTTGGAGATAATTCAGAGAGAAGGTTCCAAGGACTTCCATTGGCTTTGCCTGTTCAGCATCCACCACCCCTTCCTCCCTGCCCCCGTTGTCTGGCATCAGAATCTGGATAGTTCTCCGGGGAAATGCTCCTCCCTCTTGATCCTTGTGGTTCAAGTGGGCCTGCTCACATCCGAGTTTTAAAGATAGGCGTGACTCAGACCTGACTAATGAGAGTGCTGCATTGCTCTGGCCACTAGGATTGGCTCAAGGATGAGCATGTGACCCAAGCTGGGCCAATCAGAGACAGCCCTGGGATATTTTTGCTGGAACTACTCAGAAATAGGTCCTCTCTTTAGACTGGGATGCTAAGCTGGTAGAATGTAAGGCGGAAAGTGCCAGGAACAGTCCCTTTGAGAAGGGAGTGAACACCAAGGACGAAAAACCAGGAATTGGGCAAAGTCAGAAATCCTGCTGATGTCCTTTAAACATAGGGGTTCAGCCATGCTGAACGCTGGCAAGCACTCCTTTCTGTTTCGGCGAATCGGAGTCGTTTTTCTGTTGCTTGCCAAAAAAGACCTGCCGGTTACAGAAGACCAGTCTGAAGTGGCAGATCCATTCATTGCGTTATGCGTTTTAAGAGTTTCTGGTATTTCAGGAGCTAAGGACTGCGTCAGTGTTTCCTACGCAGAGCTCCTCCAGGACTGGCTGCAGAGGACACCTCAGAGCCCTTTGTCATGAGCTCATTAAAGGAACCCTGGCAAAGTGCAAAGCGGCTGTCAGCTTGCTTGAAAACAGCGGTCTTGAGTAGGCTAAGCCCTTCCCCTGCTGCCTTGCCTGAAAGAATTGGGCTTCACAAAGCATTTTTCAGAGTTGGGACAAATACAGGCCTGCATTCAACGCCTGGCCCAATTAATAGAGTTCTCACTATAATATTTAACTTTTCGTTTGTAATCTCTTCACACGAACAAACAATAACACGAACAAAACATTGCACAGAGGTTGCGTTTTCCATGGAGAGTGGCCGGCCACGGTTATGTGTTCCAATACCCTCTGCAGATCACGGTGAAGCCATGTCTCTTTCACGTTCTCACCCTGTTCCCACTCCTTTCGGTGTGTTTACCAAGCCATAGATTGCCTCGAAATATTGAACTGTTCCTTTTTCCCTTGTCAAAAAATTGTAAAGGACTGTCAACAATCTAAGAGGTTGAGTCACATCAAAACAAGTCTTTGTTGACTTCCCAGTGGTAACAGGACAGGGTCAGGTCTGGGGAGATGGAAGGATGAGGACCTCTACTCCAAGTCCACCTGGTTGGGGAGATAAGAATGTGGTTAATGTAGAGGGGCCCCATCTACCTGGGTTCAACTCCTGCTTCTACCACTCCCTAGTTATGTCCTTGGGCAAGTTACCAGATAGGCATGTTATGATGATTAAATGAATTAGTACAGATCAATTTCATAGAACCATGCCTAGCACTCCAAAAAAAAGTCAAAGTTAAAATTGTTTTTCTTCCTTATTTTAATTTATGACTTCATAAATTAAGGTCTGGTTTTGATGTTTTCCCAATAATTCTCAGGTATATCTTGGGATCAAAAATCAGCATATTTGGTAATAGTCACATATATCCCTCAAAAATCCCTTAGAAAGCAGCCACATTGGTCATCATAGACCATCTCTCAATACATTAGGTTCTGACCAGCCAGAATCCCACATTATTCTTTGGTTGAGAACCAATGAAGTGCTTTTCTTGTATTTAGGGGACATATTGTATGAGAAATGGCGGTCCTTAAACACGTTAAAAACATTTATAAACACTGGACTGCCACTCAGGGCAGCCAAGGCCACATATGAGGAGAGGTTAGTGATTGCTGAGCCTGACAAGGTATAGCCAATCTCAGGTCCCACCCAAAACTCACCCTGGACTTGCATACATCCCATAGCCTGCTATGGGAGCTACCTATACTCATGACACTGTTCCTCTCTCCCCAAGCACAGGTGGCTGAATCCTTGTACGTAAAAGGCTTGTGGGATGCGATATTCCTATTTTAATTTGCTTAACAGGAAGAGAGTTCAGAAATGTTAGACATCAAGGCCAAACCTAGCACCTGAGGTTCCCAACCCACCTTTACCTTGGAAGCCTTAGGGTGAAAAGCATGAGATCTGGGGCTCAAAGCTTGAGACCTGAGTTGGCAGCTGACCCACAGTTTACCAAGGGGTGACCTTGGGCCAGTCACTTTATCTTCTTCAGCTTCAGTCTCTTCCTAGGAGAAAGGATATAAAAAATATAGACCACGCACAGGTACTGAGAATGGAGACAAAGTCTGCCTACGTGCTAGGTTCTAGGAAGTGCATTCATGTCTTACCCACTAACTCCGTGGTCGGCAAACCGCAGCTCGAGAGCCACATGCGGCTCTTTGGCCCCTTGAGTGTGGCTCTTCCACAAAATACCACATGCGGGCGCACACGTACAGTGCTATTGAAACTTCGTGGCCCATGCGTAGAAGTCGGTATTTTGTGGAAGAGCCACACTGAAGGGGCCAAAGAGTCGCATGTGGCTCGCGAGCCGCGGTTTGCCAACCACTGCACTAACTCAATGGAGTAGGGTCTAGTGATGATGAGTAAGGCAGTCCCGGACCTCAAGAAGCACCCACCCACGTGGGGAAATGGATGTAGTTGCAAATGTGCAACAATACGGGGATGTGGCAAGTAAGACTGTGATTATTTTGGGGACCTGCCAACACTCCAGTCTTCTTTGAAGCCTCAAATGAAATGATCTGCCTTGTTTTGACAGTTAATGACGTCTGGGTAGCTGCTGTTTTGTGTTTTGGAAGAGAAACACACTTCGGGGGATATGTACATATACTTCCTGAAGATCTGCAGCCTCGCTAGCCGTGGTGTTGGGAGGATTGGCCAATTCGATCAGTCTTGTTTGATTCAGGGAAACAATTGTGAATAACAGCTCATGATCAAATTAGACAGATTTGTTTCCCACTAGTAAACAGTTGCTAATAGTTATTGAGTGTTCGCTGTGCATATTTTCTATTGAAAAGCAAGACAGCTTGGTATCCAAGGGGTCCCACCATTGACTGGCTGTGTGATTGGTGGCAAGTCTTTTAGCCTGGGGTCCTCAGTGTCTCCCCTGGAAACGGGGCAGTCAGAGTGCCTGCCTGCGAGTGTCGGCGTGAGGATGCAGTGAGGGGGCCCGACGCCGGGCCCTGTGTTCAGAACTGGCGGTCAGCGTCATCGGCTTCACGGAAGAAGTCTGGGCGACACAGATTCTGTGCTGGAAAGACCGTTGTGACCACCGCAGGGCTCCCCAGGGGCCTGTGCAGGTAAACTTAAGAGAGAGGTTGGTTCTCATGCCAGCACGTAAGGCAAACAGGGATGGAATCAAATTCCCCTTGAAAATTCCTGCCTGTCGAGTAGAGTCTATACGGTATTGCGTATGGCCCACTCAGGTCTGAGCACCCCTGCGTCAGACCCTCGGAGGGAATCAAAGGCATGTTTACCTGTGGCTGCCTGGGCATTCAAACCATTCCGTCTCGAAGGAAGAGGGTCTCAACTGGGGATAAGGTTGCCCTTCTAGGGGACCGTTGGCAATGTCTAGAGACATTTTTTGATTGTCGTCACGAAGGCGGGGTATGCTATTGGCATCTAGTGGGTGGAGGCCAGGGATGCTGCTTAAACATCCTACAACGCACAGGACAGTTCCCAACAACAGAGAATGATCCCGCCTAAATGCCAATAGTGCTGAGGCTGAGAAACCCTGTGCTGGTAACTATCAAATCCACACTTAGGAAGGGGAGCGGGGCGGAATCTGCTAGGATGTTCCTGCGTGTCACTGGGGTTTAATGAGATGCCCTATGTGAGAGCTCTTAGCGTAGGCCCTGGCACATAGTAGGTACTCAATAAGTGGTTGCTGGGTCTACAGTTAAATTTTGCTTGATGGGGCCACCCCATATGCTCTATTTTTGAGATGCGGTGGAGGAGAACTCGGCCACCTGCTTCCTGTCTTTCCAAGCTGGCACTTCCTGTTTTGCCCCACTCAGCAGTGATGGGTCTCATGGTGGTATCTTCCCTGAGGGGGAGGTTCCAAAACCACCATCCAATTCAGGTGTGTTTCTGCCGTCCCGCTATTCCCCAAACTTTCTAATTTAGATTCAAAACTATTGGCCTCTCAACTCTACGTGGAAAGCCCTCCCTTGTAGCCACATGATTTTAAAAAAGGGAGCTCTCACAACTACAAACTCCATTCTCCCCCCTCCCCTAAACAGGTTGGATGTGAAATAGGAGCCCAGGGAGGAGGGGGCTGCTTGTCACTCACACGCTAGGAAACTCTCAGGGACCGCAAAGGCAAGGAAATTGCTTTTAAATGAAAGAAGTATTCCCATTTCATTTCGACCCCTAATGTATCACGTAACTGTAATATCCCTCCTTGTCCATCTGAAATATTAGAATACAAATAATTCCTAAGTCATTTGGACTCTATTCAAATGTGAATTCATCTCTTTAACCATCCCTCTCCTTATATTTGAAATAAAGACGAATATTGAACGTTAAGAGTCTCTTTGTGGATTTTTTTTCACTTTGAGGTGTTTTTGTTTTTGTTTTCTTATGGTCACTGTTGCTTTCCCCCCATCATTACTTATTCATCAGCATCTTGAAGATCCTAAACTGGTCTTTTTCTATTTTTTCTGTTTCCCTTCATTTAAATATTGTGGACAGCAAGCCAACTGACTAATGATGAATATGATTCATGTTCAGATTTAATGTCTTATGCAAAGATCTTTTTATTCCAAGGATAGAGGATGTGTTGTTTCAGTAGATGTGATGTCACAGTGACAAAGGGCAATGTCAGGTGACTGGATGGGTGTTAATGGCCTGGCCTGGCCATACTCACCCGAGAGGGAGCCACACGGATGGTATCCTATTCCAGTATGTCCACAGAAGGAAGGGAAATTTCTTCCAACAGTGTGTTTCTGTGCCTTGTCTGTTTTGGGAGGTCCCTTGAGTTGAAGTGCTGACTTGGTGTGTCTGTATAATGGAGTCAGACATGTTATGCCTTCTCCTTGACACTCTCTTTTTGCCTGGGACACCTGTGTTAGAGGGGAAAAGCATATCAGGATCCAGGAATGGCAAACACACAGCTGTCCCACCTCTGCCTGTGGCAGACATTACCAATCGATCACAGCACACTTTTTCATAAACCATGCACGCAGACACTATCAATTGATGGCAGCACAGGCATACAAAGTAGGAGAGATTTCCTGCCTCTATTGGGTAAAGAAGGATACACTTAGAAGAGCATTGGAATGTCATCACCATCACCATATTCTTTTCCAGAAACTTCTTCAGTGCTCCAAATCCCACTTGCCCAAACGTTTGGAAGGAAAGAGGGAGAAGGCTTTGTTTTCTACACAGCAATTTGGTTTGAAAACGAGTCTCTGAGGGTGCAGAGACAAGCAAATTGAATGAATTCACCTTATTTCCTGGTGTTATTACAACAGGGATTCTTAAAATATAAGTCCCTGACGCTACTTTATCCATGAGGCCTCAGTCTGAGATGAAGTCTTAGAAACACAATCTAGAACCAAAATTAATCCTACCATTTTATAATTTGCTCAGTCAGATGCGCAAAAAAAAAAAAAAAGGATATGATTTTCAAGTACTTTCTACACTTGAGACTAAAAACAGCAGGTTTTTTTTTTTAATTTTGTTTAAGCAAATGCAATCCTCTGGGTATTTACAGAAGGAGGATTTCAGTCATTGGAGACTTTTTTTTAAAAAGATCTCAAATAAGAATCTTTCTTTGCATTTTTTCCCCCCAAAAGGACATTTACTTTTGGAAAATGCTCCATTTAGAAAAATTGTGCCATGAATGACAACTGGCCCACAAGTTTGACGTTTTTTTGAAGGAGAGAGTGGGGCGGAGAAGGTTGGAGGTTGTGTGAATGCAGTTCTGTTCACCTACCAGCCAAGCAGGACTTGGGAGTTCATGTTCATTCATTTCTTTTCGTTCATTCATTTATTCAAATACATACTGAGGGTCTGCCGTATGTAGAGCACTGTGCTAGGCAATGGGATGATAGCCTGGAAGGAAACACTGCCTTAGCCCTAGTCAGTTTGGCTCAGTGGATAGAGCATCGGCCTGTGAACTGAAGGGTTCCGGGTTCGATTCCAGTCAAGGCCACATGACCGGTTGTGTGGGCCCGATCCCCAGCAGCTGTCTGGGAGCCCTCAAGGCATGTCCAACTGACAGCTTAGGCCCATTCCCCACTGCGCTCGCCAGCCATGAGCCTGGCTTCTGGCTGAGCAGTGCTCCCCTGTGGGAGCACACTGACCACCAGGGGGAAGCTCCTGCGTTGAGCACCTGCCTCAGGTGATCAGTGCACATCATAGCAACCGGTTGTTCTGCCATTTGGTCGATTTGCATATTAGCCTTTTATTATATAGGATGTTTCTATTTCTCTCTTCCTCTCTGAAATAAATTTAAAAAAAAAAAAAAAAAGAAAGAAAGAAAACACTGCCTTAGACTGCCCACCCTTCTTCACGGGGAATGCCAAAGAATGACGCCCTAATGTCCTAAGGCAATGGTTCTCTTGTCACCACCTTCCAAGTGACATTGAGCAACGTCTGGAGATATTTTTGGTTGCCACAACGGGGGAATAGTGCGCCTGGCATCTAGTGGGTGGAGGCTAGGGGTGCTGCTCAACATCCTACATGCACAGGAGGGCCCCACCATAAAGAATGACCTGGCTCCCAATGTAAGCAGCCTGGAGGGGGAGAAACCTGCCCTGAGGCATCTAACATAATGAATTAACTTCTGGTTAATGGTTCTAGTTAAGTTCCATCTTTAGGAGAAATGAGGAAATGGTAGCCCAACTCATTTTCTGTCAGGCTTTTCTCTCTCTTGGAACCCTGATTGAGAAAGGTTGGTTCCATTGCCTCAGGGTGTGTGGTCCATGGACTTTTGGCATCAGCATCACCTGGGAGCTTGTTAGAGAGGCAGAGTCCCAGGCCCCACACCAGACCTGCCGAGTCAGAACCTGCACTTTAACGTGATCTCCAGGGGATTCGTGTGCACGTCGCCATTTGAGAAGCGGTGTTCAATCAGCTATGAAGCAGAAGCTTAAGTGATCATTTTCCTAAGTGCTGCGTCTGTGGGCTGACTTCTGTGGCTCCCTTAATTCGCATATGGAAATCTTAACCCCCACGGTGATGGCATTAGGAGATGGGACCTCTGGGAGGTGATTAGGTCTTGAGGGTGGACCCCTTGTGAATGAGATTAGTGCCTTTATAAAAGGGACCGCGGAGAGCTCCACATGAGGATACGGAGAAGGCAAACAGGGCTCTCACCAGACACCAAATCTGCCAGTGCCTTGACGTTGGACTTTCCAGACTCCAGAACTGTGAGGGAAAACTGTGTCGTTTAAGTCACCCAATCTATGATGTTTTTGTTATAGCGGCCCAAGTGGACTAAGACAGCTACAGAGGTCAGGCTCCCGTGAACAATCCGCCTGCGAACGGAAGGCTGGAAGAGGAGCAGAAGCCAGCCCGGAGAAGAGGCTTCCTAGCAGGGGGAATAGCACGTGCAAAGGCTCAGAGGCAGGAGGGAACTGGCCAGCCGGAGGATCCGAAAGAAGAGGCTTTGTGTCTAGAGCCCAATGAGCAAAAGGCAAGTGGAGCTGAGACCGGCCAGGTGAGCAGAGCACGTGGGACTTTTTTTCCAGGAGCAAGTGGGGATGGTTCACTGGGCTTGATCCCCAGGCCCTTGCCTGGTGTGGCACAGGGAGGGATGCCATTGGTGGCCAGGGGACAGGGTGAGGCCGACTCCTCGGCCCTTTCACGTGGTGTTCTAAGCAGCTGAGCCAGCTGGTCACACCAGGGTCGGAATCCCATGAATGATAATTGCCCCAGGTGACCCACATCCGTGGTGAGATGGCGCAAGATCAATGCTTCTGGGACACGCTGCTCCCGACCGCTCTGACTTAAGGCTGCGGAACCATCATGTCGGTATATTTTTGTACAGATTTTGTAGTTTATGACACATTCTGGCAACGTTTAGATGCGATTTCAACGAGCCAGAATGTAGTACTGTAAACCTAAAACTGGATATCCCTTAAAGCTGCGAGGACCTGGCAGGAGACGGCTCCCAATTACACGCAGCTTCCAACTCCACTGTTCCCGTCCTCCTCGAAGCATTGAAAACAAAACCCAGCTTCAATGAGGGACTGCTAAGCACTTTGCATCCTATTAATGTCCCCTCTGGGCTTCCAAACTCCAGGATACCTTACACACAAGAAATGACCCCTGATAACTGACTGCCGGGGAAAGGGGGGTCCCGGGCGGGGGTGGGAGTGGGGGTGGTTACCTGTGCAAAGATGGTGACAGAACGAATGGCCATGAAGTCATTCTGTCCTCATCCTTGTTGATGTCTGTCCACACGGGGCTAGTCTCTCGGGCTGCGTGGGGATCGAGGGAAGTCATTTTATCGCACAGACGGGATGCACTTGGCTGCCCCACTCCTCATCCTTCGCGCATTACTAATCTCACAAACCATCCATTATCCACTCGGCAACTGGCAAACGTGAACTTGGCCAGCGTCACCGCCGCACGATGAGATCCAAGTTAGAAGAAGTGGGAGAGGGAGAGAGAGAAAGTACAGAGATGAGCCAGACGGTTTCCCAACCTGTACGAACACGTCGTACTTACCCGGCCGGGCGCCCGCGCCAGGCGCCGTCCCCGCGGTCTGTCTTGTGCTCCGGGCCTGGGCTGTGTTTGGGGCACACAGGTCCGCGCCCCCCTCCCTTCCAGCTGATGATTGGCGTATTGTTGAGAGCCGATGAGGGCTGATCTCTGGAGGAAGTTGGCCAGAAAGTTTAATTCTATAAAAAGCAACGCGCGGTCAGGATACCGGTTCCTATTCTGAGTCAAGGCGGAGAAGAGTCAGAAATTCCAACCCAGAGGGTCAGGAGGGGCTCCAGGACCTCGAGTCCCATCTGAAACATGTTCCCGCTGGGCCCTCCCTCCCCCCCTCCCCGCAGCCGGCCAACCCGGATTACACAATGCACTCGCTCGCTTTATCCCACACGGGCTGTTTCTCATTAGGAGCCCGGAGCTTGTTTTTCCCTGTGCCATGTCATCTCTCCCCATTCAGGTGAGTAATTCCACTTCCTAACAGGGGGATTCTGTTCACACTCTTGGCTGGACGCGACGAAGAAAAAATGAGGCTGCAGACTTTTTCCTACGTGAGAACGCTTCTGCACTTTTTAACCCTGGCATCTTCCTTCCTCTGTCCGCAGTGTTCCATTTCCTCATTTCAAAGAGCTCTGCTCAATAGGAACCAGAGGAAAAGCGAACATTTGAATCAAGCCATGCAGTGGTTTGGGTCACCCGACACCGACAATAGTGTCTAGAGGGTTTGGCTTTTGTGTGTGTTTTGTTTTTTTTTGTTAAGCCTCACCCAAGGATATTTTTTCCATTGATTTTCAGAGTGGAAGGGAGAGGCAGAGAGAGAGAAATATCGATGTGAGAGACACACATGGATTGGTTGCCTCCTGCACGCACCCCGACCGGGCCGAGGATGGAGCCTGCAACCGAGGTACGTGCCCTTGACCGGAATCGACCTGCAGCCCTTCAGTCCGAAGGCCGACACTCTTACCGCCAAGCAAAACCAGGCAGGGCATAGAGAGCTCTGTTTCTCCCCCACCAGACTGGCACCTTTTCATTTTTAAACTGGATCTCACCAGAGGTTTTGGGGTGCAGAAACCAGCTTTCCTGCCTTCCAAGTGGGTGAAACAAGACTCCAAGTGCAGCAGGTCGCCTCAGCTTCTCCCACCAAGCATTTAGTGGTTCTTGAGAATAGCATCAAGTTTCAGTTCAGTTTTCTGGAGGCCTTGGGGCTACGGATCGGATCTGGATGTTGGCATTTTTTTGGCCTTCAAGGCCTCAGAATGGTTCCAGGGAAACCCCAGAGTCATGAGGGGGAGTGGATTTCCCCACTGTTACCTTCCTCCATCCCCTTTCTCTTTCTGGCCGTGTATCAGAAACGGAACCACCTCACCCACCGGCCCCCTCGTGTAGGGTGAGCCCCAGGAGTGGCATGCATGGGATTCAGCCGCATCTGGAGAAAAACTGCCAAGCGATGGCCCTCTGGTCTTTGCAACTCCAGGCCCCCCTGAGCCAAAGCGAAATAGGACTCCTGCCCCGGCCTCCAGTCTCCCTCCGCCTCCTGCCCTGTTTTGCTTAGAACAAGCCTGAGCATGCCATGCCACCTCGCCAGGCCCTGCCAAAATCCACGAATGGCACAGAGCGCACATTAAACAGATGGAATGCAACATACATGTAAAGAAATAAGAGCTCTGCCAGGAAAGTTGGCAGCAGCCCTGGAATGCTTTAAACAGCGTGTGTGTGGGTAGAAGAGAGTGAGCCCAGAGCCGGCGAGGCTGCCTCCCTCGCTCTCAAGAGCTGTTTCTTTTACCGCCGTGACCTGTTTTGCCAGTCAAAATAAATACGGTGTTAAATGCCCCCTTTTACTGGCTCCCGATACCTTGGCCATGCAGTTTGAAACATGACCCGGTCTCATTGGAAAAATGTCCTTTTAACAGAGTAGAAAGGATGTGCCCCTTCTAGGCAGTGTGTAGGAGGGTCATGGGCGGTGGAGCCTTCTGGACACAGACACACTCGGGGAGAAGAGCAGGACCGGCCATGGAGCCACACGGCTTGGTTAGAAGTCCCGCCTGGAGAAGGTTCGTTGCAGACACGGGGTGATGCCTGGGGGCTGCCTGGCACGGCTTTCTATCACCATTGGCATCAGCGAGGAACAATGGAGCGGCTGCCCGGAATGCCTGGCTCCTTCACAAGGCACCTCTGAGACAGCCAGGACTTTCCTTCAGAAGGAAAAGAGCCGCGCTAGCCAGGCATTGAGCTTTGTGGATCCCCCACAGCCACAGGCCAGTCCATAACCGCATCGGCTTCTTGCCACAGGCCTGTGAAGCTAGATGGATTTGCCCCGAAGAGTCATGCCGGCGGCCGTTCACCAAGCATTCTCTGCATATCAGGCCCATCAGACATATCTTCTGAATCATCCCAAAACAGTTTACGGCAGGAAACCTGCCGAATACCTTATAGACGAAGAAACTGAAGTTCAGAGAGGTTGAGTCACTTGTCCAAGATTGCACAGCTCTTACAGAGGAGGCTGGGATGGCTGTACCAGATGGTCACAGACTGGGGGGCTCACAAAAACCCAGAAATGTATTCTCACACAGTCCTGGAGACCTGGCTGAAATCGAGGGCTGTGCTCCCTCCGAAGGCTCTGAGGGGTGGGGGTGGGAGGCTCGTTCCTTGTCTCTGCTGGCTTCCGGTGGCTGCCAGCTTCCTTGGCTGTGGCCGCATCCCTCCAGTCTCTGCCTCTGACTTCACGTGGCCCTGCCATGTGCCGGTCATCTCCCCTTCTCTGCTCTTGTAAGGACACTTATATTGGACTTAGGTCCCACCCTAATCCAGGGCGACCTCATCTCGATGAGATCCTTGACGTCATTACGTCCAGGGATTTGACTCTGGATCTTTCCTCAGGGGGCCTGGAGACTTATCCGATAAAAGTCTTTCTGATTTTGCAGGTAGGACTGCAGGGCTTATTATAAAATTTAAAAATATTTCTGCCATCTCTTATCCTCTTCTTAGAACAACACGTGTAATAACAACCAGCATTTCATGAACTCGCATCAAGATCTGCCAGTGGGTCACGTGATTTAGTCCTCGCAGATACTCTGAGATACAGACACTATTTTGTCATTGCTGGACACGGCAGGAAAGTGAAACGAGAGAGCTTAAAGCCTTGTGCAAGCCCTCACAGCCAGGAACTGGTGAGGGTGGGATCAGAGCCCAGGATGTCTGACTCTGGGGCCCTAGTTCGTAGGCAGGACACAAACTGCCATTCCTTGGAAATGTAGGATTTCGCTGGGAGGCCATGGTTTAGAAGGAGTGGAGGTGTGGGGTGATGGGACCATTTCTGCGCAAGACTAGCCATGACTTATTCTTGGGCAGAAAGTCCAGAAGGGCTTAAAAGTAGGCATTCTGATTGGGAAGGCAATCACCAAGTGGGTTTCTCTAGGAGACCAACCCCCCTGCCTGTTTTCTCTCTCTCTCTCTCTCTCCTGAAATTCCAGCAGAGAAACAGGAAGTTGGAGGCAAGTAAATAATAAAAAAAAAATGCCCCTTTTTATTGTCTTCCGGATAACATCTGCCAATGGTTATATTATTGCAGGGAAGTTTTCACTTTGGTTGTGCAATCCTCTGGCCCAGGAGACCCGGTAGATGGTGAAAGGCCGAGAATGGCAAGTGACTTCCTGTCCTGCTGTCTTGTGACCATGTCTACTCATTCGGGCTCCCTGGTGAACAAGATCCATTTCCCTTTCAGTCGGAGCCACTGGTGGCTAAGTATTGTCTCCTCTGAGCTTCTCAACAACCTTGTGAAGTCAGATCTGACACCCAGGGAAGTCAAGTCACTTGCCCGGATATGCCGACCACCAAGCGCTCAGATCTCCCCAGGCTGCCTGAGTCCAGAGTGTAAGATCTCTGCTGTGACATTGTCTCTCTAAACCCATGTCCCAAGAATCTGCATCATCTGTTAGATCAAGAAAAAAGGAAATGCACTAATTCACTTGTTCACACATTCATTCATTCATCCATCCATTCATCCATCCATCCATTCATTCATCTATCCTACCATCCATCCACACATGTCCATCTGTGTCTGTACCACATGTGGGAAGCCAACAAGAAAATCTCTTCCCTTTTAGGTGTGCACCAAGCTCTTTGCTGGACTCAGTACAGGAGGTCATATCTCCGCCTTAAAGAGACAGAGAAGATGGGAAGGTGTATCAGTTAATCTAGGCCAGCATGGCAAATGCTATTATAGAGATACGAAAAGGGAGACCAGGAGAGAAGAGAAAATCAGGGAGTAGACCAGTGATGGCGAACCTTTTGAGCTCGACGTGTCATAGGTTCGCCATCACTGGAGTAGACCCTGGGATTGAGATTTGAAGGTGGAGGAGGGAGATGTCACTCAGACAAAGAAGGGCTGGCCTGCATTTTAGGCAGTGGGTTCAGCAGGCATGTACTACTGTGGCCATGCTGGGTATATATTTGACTAGAGGCCCGGTGCACAAATTCGTGCAAGGGTGGGGTCTGGCCATGCCACCCAGATGGCGGCAGATTGGGCCAGGCCAGCAGGGGAAAGGGGATACAGGGGGGCCCAATAGAGGTGAGGCTGGCTAGGGGGAGGGGCCGCAGCCAGGTGGAGGGGCCGCCAGTGGTTGGCCGGCCGGCCCCACCCCTGATTGGGGTGGGGGGGCAATTGGGGGCCAGGCTGGGGGGGAGGAGCCAGGGGAGGTTTGGGGGGCCCAATCAGGGCCCGATTGGGCTGGTTGGCTGCCGCAGTGTGCGTCATAGCGACCGGTCGTTCTGGTCGTTCCGGTCGTTTCGTCGTTCCAGTCGCTTGGCTTTTATATATGTAGATTACCTCCATAGTGATTGGTTAATCACCAGGGACCCACCAACAGGCCCTCTCCCCACCCTCTCTCACCTGGGATTCTGTCCACTTCCCCAGGATGCAGAGACTAAAGGGTTAACAGCTGGGCCAGCAGGAAGCTCCAGGGCTGGGCTCCCCTCCAGCCCCTCCGTCCTCCTTGGTTGGTGCTGTGATG